CACTCACACACTCACACACACTCACACACACACACACTCACACACACACACACACATACACACACACACACACTCACTCACGTTAAGGCTAGTTCACACACGCAGTGCTGTGGTGTTTTCACTTGGTCGCTGTTTCTGACCTTAACTGACCCCACGATGAACCGTTGCCATGGCGATGAGGTAAGCGTCCCCCGCGCACAGACGCATATTTACACGATGTAATGAGCTGTTGGTGTGAATCTGAAGATCATCCCGAGACACGAGCTTCAGCACGCCGGACACAGCGAACTGACCTTCACACACACCCAGAGACTCCCATGAGCCCCTGCTGCAAGTCCTCACACGCAAGAGTGTGTGTGTGTGTGTGTGTGTGTGTTTACAGTCTCTCTCGCGCCGGGATCCAGATATACGGTCCAGACTGTTCCTCGATCACAGACTTCACGCGATGGTAGATCTCCTCGAGGCTGTCGCCTTCCACGATCGCTGCACACACACACACACACACACACACACACACACATTACAATCCCTTTAAAGACACAATCACACCAAAACTTGTCTTGATCTTGTGTGATAACAAAATCTGATGCAAGGTTATCATTAACTAAAACTAAAACCATTGACAAACATTCTTGTTACTTGAAATAAAAAACCTTAACTGAAATGAAATATACAAAACTTAAACTTCTTTTATTTACTTAAATTATTTTTACTTTTTTAAATTTAATTTCCAAGGTAATATTTTAATTTCTATCTAGTTTAACCTAAAGAACTAAAATAACTAAAACTGAAATACAAATGAATAAAAGACTAAAAATGGAAAACTAATGAAAATTACAAAACCACAAAAAATGACTAAAATTCTAACTAAAACTAAAATGAAAATGTTATTCATTCAAAATATGAATAGAAGCTATAGCACTTAAATAGGCCTGCTTTGAGGTTCATGTCAGTGCAGAAAGAGGTTCACCAATCACATCAGAGCTGATTTCCATATGCAGGTGTGATGATGTTTCACCTGAGAAGCACTCGATGAAGTCCTGCTCCAGTTTGACGGCTCTGTCTAAAGCTCTTCGGGCCTGTTCCTCCGTCAGACGCTTGTTAATGTCTCTGAAATCAGACACAGCTACAAACGTTACACTGTGTCAACTGACCGTGACAGCGTTACACACACACACACACACACACTATCAGACTCACACACACACACAC